CTTCTAGAAATTTTTAAATTGTGAGATTCAGTAACATGAACAAAATGTAATGCTCAAACACATGGAAAGAAATAAAAGAGAATATTTAAAAGTGCTAATTGAATAGCCAAGTCTTCTCTGTCTTGGCTTCTTATGTGTTGCTCCCTGTCATCCAATAATGGAATCTTCTTACCTAGTTAGTGCACTCTTGACCTTCAGAGCTTGATAGTTTCTTTAGACCTTCTCCCTATTTCCAAGGGATAGATCTTCCAAGAACAGAAAAGCTATTTTACCAATTTGAAAAAAACAATTTATGTGACTTTTTATAATGTTTTCAAGCCACATAATAAATAAATATTCCAAATAGAGCCTTAATGGGGGAACAATGTAATGTAAAGAAATGTCAATATGTTGTTTAAAATACCACGTGATTTTAAATTGCATGCACAGGTAAGAATGGTGATAGGCTCTTAAAGAGCTTAAAAGCAGCAAGAGTCATTTACATTCAGTGAATGTGAATCCAGAATTTGTTTTGCATAAACCTTAAACAACATTATTTGCTTTCTACAGTCAGGTTCTTGAATGGTCTAATAAATTATACTTACAGGTTCATTATAAGGGCTTAATTTTGTGTTTGTTTTCCTTATAAGTCCATGAATTAGCTGGGTAGCTAAGGATCATTTGTTCTGTTCCAGAATTTTTAACTCTAAGAATGTTCTCTAATTTGACAGTTACTTATATATCTTTCTTTTCAGGTTTACATTTTCTGTAGAAAAATGGATTATAGAGTTCTTTAAATGATGTTCCTCTTATGCTTTGTCTTTAAGCATTTCTGTCCCCTCTCTTGAAAAGAAAAAGGAAACAGATTTTACAAAATTTAAAGAGAATGAGAAAATGTAGCCATCTTTGAGATTCTGCTATGTCTGAGAAACACGAGACTGTTGTAAATCAGCTCACAGTGTGAAAATGGAAATAAGAAAATTAATGTTTCCTCAGTGCTTTCTACAGGATCCTCTTTCAGCAGATCAGGGATCAAATGCATTTATAAAACAGTAGAAGAGAAATCTTCCATTGTCATAGTGTGTTCCTGGGGAGCACTCATCTTTACATACTCATTTGCTGCCCACCTGGAAATTAAAATAAAAAAAATAAAAAAAAATTCAAGTAATTTTGCCTTAGGCCCAATTAAAGGTGAGGGAAGACAATGTTCCCCAGTCTCTGGCTGCCTGGCATATCAAGATCCAGCAGCAGCAAAAGTAACAAGTTTCAGAAGAGAGCCCAAACTAATGAAGGCTGTTGGTAATGAGGAAACATTTTGGCACAGGAATATGGGGATTGAAGGCTAATGTAAATAAGTTAGCAGTTCACTAGGTTAAAACATCCTTTATTCTATAATGGGAAGGATCACAAGACTCGTTTTAATTAAAGACTTCAGAAAGTTTACAACTTTCACTTTAAATCATGCTCAGATGTGTTGAGTAGGTGGCTCTTGATGTGGTGTTTGAACTCTAATTTGGCATTTGCCTCTGGTACTACAACATGATCTGTTCACCGTGAGAATTGTTGTAGTGTTGTCTGCCAGTGAGTTGGTTGTCTAGTTTCATTGGCAAATACATGGAGCTTTATTGCTTATTTACTTTGGGGGGAATTGTTCTCAAATACACAGTAGGGATAGTAATGTTAAAAGCAGTTTGACAAAAGGAAGAAATAAATCTCTAGTCATAGAGTGAGGCCAACCGATGCCTTCTAAATATTGTAGCTAGTGGCTGAGAAAGAAGTAAAATTATTACAGCTATAAAATAAACACAAAATACAATGTCTGCTTTTCTGTCTTTTTCTTGGGATGAAAATAATGACTTAAAACCAATGTCATGTACATTGGATTTTGGTTGGTTGTTTATTTTTTTGTTAACATTAGACTATTATTTCTATTTTTATTGCATTACAGAAACTCAACTTACTGTATGAAAGTGTCCATTTCTCTGACGGTTGGTGAAAATGACACTGGACTCTGCTACAATTCAAAGATGAAATATTCTGAAAAAGCTGAACTTAGTAAAAGCAAGGAAATCTCATGCCCTGAAATTGAGGATTTTTTATTTCCATTTAGAGAGCCTGAAATTCTGTGGTATAAGGTAAGGAATGAAAAAGATTTTACTATTCAACAAGATATTATGCAATATTGTTCTGTTTTTCATGATCTAAATATGATATGAAGCTTGGATTGTTTTAATATTTGTCGAGAACAGACAACAGAATCATGGATAGAAAAGAAGAAACTAAGTGGAGAAAATTAAAATGCTTCCTTTGCTTAACTTTAGAGCTTATATTTTCTTAATATCTATTTGCAACTGTCACAAAGAATTGGCATCTTTCTGCTTAACTAGAGGGCTAAAACAGAAGTGTGTTATCAGCCTGGGCTGGTTTGATATGCTAAGGTGAAGTCATGTGAGCTGCTTATACAGCAATTCCTTTTGCTATACAGGCTAAAGAGTAGGCTTCTAAAAACTCATGCATAAAATCTATTTGGAAAAATATGAATAGGAATAGCTATGCATGCTATTATCTGAATGGATGGCTTAATTTTGCAACATGATCTTTGCATGTTACCTTTTACTTGCAAATATAATCTAATTGTTTTTATCAGTAACCTTATTTTAATATTGTGTACTGATTCCCTGATCATTACTTAAGGGACAAGTTCTTGAAAAGAGTGCTGCCTCTGGGCATCACAGCAGGGCTTTTACGAACAGCACCTTGTGTTCTGGATTTCTTACCATCGCAGGAGATGATACTCAATACTTCAGTACTATGATGCACAATTTAAAGTCCCCAAACAGTCCAGTAAATCTGAAATTTAGAGTCTGTGTATTTTGTCTACACAGATGTCTGTGTATATAGGAAGTCAGAGTTTAAGTATGAGCTGATATGCATTCAGATTATTTTTTAAAGGCTGATAATTTATATGATAGCATAATTGCTTTTAAGTGTGGTACACAAAACTGTGCTATCTAGCAAGCAAAAACTAGAAGGGTTCTGTCCGAATTAACTGACTACATGTCTAGGATAAGAGGTATGTAACTAGTTATTTGCTTATACTCATCTTGGATTTTGCTTTTGTAATACAATATACATACCTGAAGTTTTAATAAATTTAAAACTATGACTGGCTTCTTAGATAAGAGCTCAGAAGTGTGGGTTTTTGAGAGTCATTGAAAGTATTTGTTTGAATGAACTCAAGCAACCTCTTCTATTTTAATATTTTTAAAAGTCCTTTCTGTATAAACAATAATTATGCTAAGATAATAAAATAAAATATTTTGTGATAGTCAATCAAAAGATAATTTTATTATGAAAAGCACCAATCTGTTTTTCTAATAGCTCATAAATATTTGTAATCTTTCTTTTTTCAATACAAAAAAATTAAAAACCCTAGAAACACTAAAAATATTCAAAGTAATTTTAAGTAGTTTCTAGGTTAATTAGGTGAAAATAAGTTAATAATTTTAGGGAACTAAGAAACATGCATGCAAAAATGCATACCATCTACTATAGTATAAAAATAAATAAAATAATATTTTGGTAGTAATAACTGAAATGTTAAGCATTTTTTGTATATGCAAAACTTACATTTTGCTTAGAGTACAGAAAGATTTGATTTTCAGATTTTTTAGAAAGAGCTATATAGCATCCTAATTTCCCCTCATTCTCATCTTCTTCTGTTTCTTTATATTTTTTTTAATTAGAATTTTTTTAAGAACAGATTAGAAAAAGTCTCTCCTGTAACCTGTAGCTACTGCTAATATAGTAGTCATGGAACACAGACATAACTGTAATGGAAAATAAGTAAATGAAATAGGAGTCTCTCAGCAAAGTAATGTCTAATGAAAACCACCAAAGGAAGCAGCTCCTCTTCTTTTTCTTGTCAGAGGGCATATATTAACTGATAAAATTCCATAGTCTTTTTTTTGTTTTTAATCAACACTTAGCTGAACTGACTTTCTAAGTATTCACTGAATGCAAAGTTCATAACTAGTCTGGGCTCTTGCCTAGCTGCCTTACCTTTGGGAAGCATTGTCAGCAGTGTTCCAATTGTAGTGTAAAAACAGTCACTGAAGCGTTATATTATCTTCAAACAGGAATGCAAGTCAAAGACGTGGAGATCAAGTATTGTGTTTAAAAAGGATACTCTTGTCATTCGGGAAGTTAGAGAGGATGATATTGGAAATTACACTTGTGAGTTAAAATACGGATTCTTTGTTGTCAGAAGAACTACGGAATTAACAGTTACAGGTAATTACAGGCTCTTGCTATCTCTTATATTTAGAAAAATACATTGAATATTGTGATTCGAGTCATTATACTTATGGAAACCACTTCTGCACAAAACTTTGCTGTATGCCTAGATGTCATGGTTTAAACCAGGACACTAGATACGAATGGTTGATACATTAAAGCTGTCCTGAATACTTCACAGCTGCGTAGTATTTTGCACAAGTCTGAGTTTTCGCCTATTCCAAAAGCTTGTGAGTAGATCTTTGTTTTGACTGGAAAATGTCAAAGAACAGGTAACTTCAGCAAGCACTACCTCTAATGGAAATTAAGATCACTAAATCTATTGTACTTTTTCATGTGGCAAAGAATAGTTGTAGTTATAACTCAATAGCAGTAGATCTAATTGTGTTTGGATATGAGAATAGCTGTAGCTACAACCAAACGGCTGTAGCTCTAGCCCAGTGAGACCACTGCAACTGGGTGGCAGATATGTAAGGGGTAGTGTTTGTGCAGTGCATGACTGAAAGATGGTAGCATTCTTCCTCCAAAATTCTCTCCTAGCATTCTACAGTTCAGGAACTTTCTGATCTCAATCGTCATGTGATGTGGCCACCCATTGACTTATTTTCCATTAGCCTGATTATTTTATTAATCCCTTTATTCTTGGCTTCAAAAATATTTTGAAGTATCAAGTTCCACAGAGTAATTATGTAATATAAATAAACTCTAAAATTTATCAAGCAGCATGTAATATAATCTGCATTTAAAACTACCATATCAATGTGTAAAAATCCATCATAGATGAAAACAAAATGTATACTGTAATAGTAATGTCCGCAGTGGCAGAACAGTATGAAGAACGGTCCATCAAATTTTCAGTTCTTTACCAGACCTCTAACTTCTGTTTTACAGACATGTAAAGCATATAGCCAAACATATACCTAAGGTAGAAAATAGCCTCTAAAATTATAGTATGACATTGGAAGGCAGGAGTACATCATGATCTATGTAATGCAGTGTAGTTCCACAGTATATTGCATACAAGAAGACAAGAAAGGATTTTCCTGGCAAACTGGAGGTGAACTACATCCCTATGTTTGACAAAGATGCTTGTTTATACAAGTTCTTGCACCTTCAAAATACCTAATAAACCAAGAAACAACTCTTAGAGAAGGAGTTTTGCAGGCTTTTCTTGCTCCTTTTTAGTATCTAATATATAAATTTATTGCATAGTGACAAATATTAACAGCACTTATATTGTGCATTAGGCTGAATTGCACCAGTTTCTTTTTATGGTGAAAACTTTGCTTTCTATTTTGATGTATCCTATTTGCCTTCCACATTAACAGAAATTATAGTGAATTATGGTTTGTAATTTTCTTCTAGTAGAGTAGTCTGGAAATCATATTGTTTATGTTGTTTTGAAAGAATTCAAGTAATAAATCATATTTATTTATGCTCAACATCCAGGATCTCTTAATATTTATTTTTTCTTTAATGGAATTGATTTATTTGGTCAGTACAGACATACAATTACTGTCTAGTGATTAACCTCACAGTAAACATCCATATACTCTGATTAACTCTTACATGAAGAAAGCAGAAATGGAGTTTTCAAGAATTTGATTTACACCAGAAGGGGTTGTCAATTATCTTTTGCAATACATGATGCATGGATTCAAAGAGTACATATTCTCTCAGTCCTCAGGTGACCTCTTCTGTCCCTACAGTTGGTGCTCCACTGCACAGCAATATTTCAAACAGACTTAGGGTGAAAAGAGAAAGAAAAAAGCATTGGAGCCAGATGAGTGTTACTATTTGTAGTAATAGTTTAAAAAATGTAATTCATTGCTTGTAGTATAGGTAGGAGTTCAGTATTTAATTTTTAACTAGGCAGAGATAGAAACAGACTTGGCTGATTTTGATGTGCTAAAAATGAATGAATGCATACGGAGGGAATTATTCAGTTTCCACCTCTGCAAACCCCAGCAGATGTAAGGACAACCTCATATTAGTAAACTGCTTGGGTAGTATGTAGGTCTTCATATCATCTTTATAAGATTATGTAACTAAACAAAACAGATCCATGCAGGACATTTGACACTATCCCGCACAGCATCCTTATCTCTAAACTGGAGAGGCATGGATTAGGCGGATGGACCACTAAACGGAAAAGGAATTGGCTGGATAGTGGCAAAGAGTTGTGGTCAAGGGATCAATGTCCAAGCCGAGATCAATGATGAATAGTGTTCCTCGGGGGTTGCTATTGGGACCAGAGCTATTTAATTTCTTTGTTGATAACATTGACAGTGGGGTTGAGTGCACATTCAGTAAGTCTGATGATAACACAATGCTGTGTAGTGTGGTTGACACACTGGAGGGAAGGGATGCCATCCAGAGGGAATTCGACAGGCTTGAGAGGTGGGCCAGTGTCAACAAGGCGAAGTGCAAGTTCCTGCACCTGGATCAGGGCAATCCCAGGCACAACTACAGGCTGGGGGGAGACTGGATTGAAAGCAGCCTGGAGAAGGACTTCAAGGCCAGGTTGGACGAAGCTTTGAGCAACCTGGTCTAGTGGAGGGTGTCCCTGTCTGTGGCAGGGGGGTTGAAACAAGGTGATCTTTAAGGTCCCTTCCAACCCAAATAATTTTATGATTCTGTGATTCCAAGATGTGCTTTAGCAGCACCAGCAGCAGGGACCTCTGAAGAGGCCACCCTGACTCCCCAGAAATACAGCTGCAGTTGTTCCTGCCCTGCTGTTGGTCTGTCAAACTGTGGATGTAATTCTCTATGCACATTATTTTCAATGTTAATGTTGTGTATATTTTGATAACCTCAGTGCTTTATAACTTACATGCCTATATGCCTCATACTGAAATATGGAATGTCTCATTCTGATTTAGAATTAAAATTAAAAAGTATTAAGAAAGTAAGGAAATTCAGATTTTTAAAAAGGCCAAACTCGCTTTATAGTTGGCATCCATCTCATCTAAGTATAGCTGTTGAAAATACCTAAGCCATGGAAAATAGTTATTTTTCCTGCTTTTAAAAAATGAGAAAACAAATTGCCCTTTATTAGCTTAAATTATAAGCACTGAATGCCACCTTAGGGACACCTTTAAGGTAACAACCATATTTAGTGCTCACATTTTTGGGTTTATCAAAAACGTCTTGTTAATGGCAGCAACATTGCACAAATAATCATAAATAACACACAAAATGTTCAAATGTTATGTGCTTGTATCTTACCAAGAATAAGTATATACTTTACTTCTTTTCCAGAGTATGATTTCTTCTTATAATATGGATGTATCTTTTCAGGGGTTTGTTAGGATAATTTTTGTTTGTTTGTTTTGATTTTAATGGAAAAAAAATTTTGGAAAATTTCTATCTTACACTGAAAATATATGATCATCTAAGTCACTTGAATCAATTTTCTTATTGTTCTGAGATCTGGTGTAGAAATTATCTGCTTTGCAAAATGTAAAGTATGCACTGATTATTCTGGCTTGTAAGTAATGTACATTTTCACGTAAACAACATCATTGATTGATCTTGGTTTGTGGTTATTTAATTACATGTTCTAAAACATTCTACAATGTACAAAAACATTTGTAGACATTTATAGTTTCATGTTGGTCAGATTAGCAATTTTTTTTCTTTTATATGTGGAATTTTAATTAAGGCAAACCTGCCTGACATAATTAAGTGCACATTCAGACTTGGGAAAGAATCATATTTTAGCAGTTTAGTATTAATTAACTCATAGCGCACAACATATTTTCCAGCAGTGATTTCTTTTAATTGAATATTAGGTTTAATAATATTCCTTTTGCTACTTACAGTTTTGCAGGCACAAACTCTTCCTACTTTTAGAGAATTTCATTCAGGTCAAATGAAGTCCAGCTTGGGTCTAAGTGAGAGTGTGTGTGTCCCCATTGCAATATCAAATAGCTCTCCATGATGAACATCATAAAGCAAACAGAACCCATCAGACTTACAGTTAGAGCATGACTTATTCAATTCCTCCATGACTTTTTTAGTTTTAAATATTAAAATATTTTTTTCCATTCTATTAAAAATAAGAAGATCTTACAACTCACAGATGGAGTCATAGCTAATCAGTAGGTTCTTACCCCTAGAGCCATTCCACAGGTACTCTGTATTTTCCTTATTCATTGAAAAGTCCCGTTAAAGTCCCCTTGAAAACAGCTCCTGCTCGAATAAGCACGATCTTAGATTTGGAGATTTGAGCATATTTACAATCAAGCTATAGCAATATTAAATTTAATGTAAATTGATACAAGTCTTTTTATTATTTAAATTTAGCCTGCTTGGTTTAAAATATTCCTGCAATAATCTTGAAAGTGACAGTTCCATCTGTTATCCATAATGGTTTTTTTTGTCTTTAGGTTTTTTTAGGCAAATAAAGGAATATAGTTTGTCTGTTTTGCAGTTATACAGCACTTGACCGTTACTGTTACTTAAAGGTTGGGGTTCGTTGAATAAGCTTTGTCACTTTTGATTTCTGATAGAATTAGTCTCCATTAGCATAGTGGAAAATCTTAGGTAACTATACATATTTATGTATTTTTAGTGCTAAAAAGTGCACTGTGAAAATAAATAGTATGAAGAAGTAATTATAATTAAATTATGGTAACAGATTTAAACTTAAATAGGGGAAGTTCAGGTTAGATATAAGGAAGAAGTTCCTTACTGTGAGGGTGGTGAGGCACTGGAACAGGTTGCCCAAAGAAGTGGTAAATGCTCCATGACTGGAAGTGAAATAATTTAAAGGGAAAATGTACAAGTCCAGGAGGACTCTGGTAACTGTGGAGAAAATTGCCATAGGATTTGAGATCATATTTTTATGATAGACTGAAAAGGCCAGGTTGGATGGGGCTTTGAGCTAACTGATCCTGTGTGAGGTGTTGCTGCTTATGGCAGGGGGTTGGAACTAGATGACCTTAAGGTCCTTTCCAACTCTAATCATTCTATTATTCTATGAAATTATACAC